GAGGCAGCCAATCATTGATTCTCTTGCATCGATGTCTCTCTCCCTCTCTCCTCTTTCTTTCTCCCCCCCTCTCTTCCTCTCTGAAATCAATAAAAATCTTTTAAGTGTCAAAAACAATATTTTGTCAGTGAGAGGATGATTTTAATCTAAAAACTACTCTTAAGAGTAATGGATAAATGCAGTCCCACTAATTCACCTAAAAATAGTTGAACTGTTTTTATTCTGATCTGTGTCAACTTTCCATGATAAAGACATCAAGACATCCTGGAAAACTAAAAATATATCGACCACCTAGATGTCTGACTTTAAACTTACTATTCTTTCATTTAAAATAGCATAACAAGGAAAAAAAAGAAGACATATGTACTATTATATGTAATAGTTTAAGTACAAAAAAATTTAAAAATAAATAAAATTAAATGGCATAACATTAATTGCTAAAGCTTTCATTTTCTAATCACTTTGTTGAAGAAATACAGTAATTGCACACAGACTATAGATACAGATAATTAAGAGCCTATTAACTTAAGTCAGAACTAGGCAAAATTAATGCAGCTTAGATGATTTTGTTGTTTTTTTTCATTGATTTTTTTTTTTCCAGAGTGGAGGGGAAGGGAAGAGATAAACATCTATGTGTCTCTCAAATCGACTGGTTGCTTCCTGCACCTGTTCTGACAGGGCCAGAGATCAAGCCTGCAACCAAAGTACATACCCTTAAACAAAATCGAACCCACAACCCTTCAGTCCGCAGGCCAATGATTTAACCACTGGGCCAAAGCAGCCAGGACAGCTTAGCAGTTTTATTTTCTCCTAGCAAAGCATGGATGACACCAGCCTCTTGTTCTATTTCTGAATTCCCTATCAGGCATTTCAATAGCAACCATAAATAATACAATCCCAAAGCAAACCCTGAATTTCCCGCACACACAAAAAAAAGTCCAATGTCCCTACAAATTCCCTATTGGAGGCCACCATCTGGCCCAAATCAAGACATCCTGAATCACAATATTAACTTTTCTAAACATTTGCCAGTCTCTGCTATGAGTATTTAACATAAATGAACTAATGCAGAATGATAGAAAAATTCACAATTTAAAAAGCTAATTTTAGATCCAAATTAAAGGTTTCTTAAAGTATTTCCAAATCCCAATTCAGTTATCCTATAAAAGGATGTATATCTATCGAAGAATGTAAATGTGTATCTTTCCTTCCACAAAACCAATATGAAGTACAACTCAGAGAGGTGGCAATTCAGTATTTTATAAATTAGAAACTTGTCCACTAAAGTATACTTGATTTTAGTTCCATATTCTTAGCCTGCAGTTCTTTATAGTCCTGTCTATTCTACTTAGTACTAATCTAAAATCACTATTTATAAATTGTCCCATTAAAACCACATCAGGACACATTATCAAACTTCTGGTTAGTGAACTTCTGGTTAGTGAATTCTACTTTACTTCGTTTAGGTATCTGGTTCTAATTCTCTAAATGGGTTGAACAGATATTCTTTCCAAATGAAGTCAGCTTTCTGGCCTATAAATCCTAGAAAACTAAAAAAGAAAAAAACTCTCGACACTAAATTTCGGAGAATTTCTAGAAATAACTTCATCTTTGGCTTTTACATCTTTTACTTCCCTTTGATTCTCCCCTTGCTAATCCTGGTTTAGCCATTTTACTCAGACCACTGCAGATCTGGCCCGCTCCTAGTTCTCTTTCTGCAAGGGCAAAAACTTCCCATTTGGTTACCTCTATACAAGAAATGCCTCATTTTAACAAGTGGAAAGAAAAAGGGGTTGCAATCACCCAATTCTACTCTATCTCTATCTACAAATGTAACTGCTTAAGAAATTTCTATTGGAACCGAACATTAATGCGCAATTATTGGATTAGTGTTCAGAAAGTCTTTAAAACTCATCTATTGAAACTTCAGATGCAATGGCCAGACTGCCTGTTTGTAAGGGCATGATTGGAGATCATGCACACTTGTGATTATGCTTCAAGCCTTTCCTCAGAAGTATGGACTACATAAAACTGAGTATTCTTTTTGTACTCAACCAATTTTCTTGAGTACCATTTTCTCTTTTCCCCATGGCTTCTTAAACCAAATTTGGTTTATGCCACAAAAGTCTATGTGCCAAAGCACTTGACTATATTAGCAATATCACTGTCAAAACCACCATGTTAAGAAGAAACTCACCTGGGATCATTATATTGAAGCCTTGGAATTACATATTTCAGGTGACTTTTTGCTCCCTTGTTTAAATCTGAACCTTGAATAATCAAGCTTTCAATGATATCTGAACAAGTTCATTAATCTGAAACAAGTACTTGGAAAATCTTTTGAGATACTTCCTTAAAACCCTTCAATCATGATGTGAACTTCTTTCAACCTGTTATCAAAAATAAATTATAAATAGTTGTTTCTGTTTGCAGGAAAGAATATGTTCTATTCAAGTGAAACATCTTGTTTTTTTCAATTGTGTGTTTATTATAATCAAAAAGCATTGACTCAGTTCCCCAGAAGAAATTCTTTCTTTTCAGAGATCAGTACATAAATCAGAAGTCCATAACCTTAAGGAAGCTAACATGAAAACTATGGATTTTAAATCAACATTAATCTTTTCATTATTGATTCCATAGTAACTAAGGTATTTCAAAATGGATTAACAGAAATCCATGAAAAGTTGCTCCTTAAAAATTTCAAGTTTCCCAAAGTGTCAAATTGACATAATACCAAAATTTAAAAGTTAGACACAAAAAGTATGAAAGCATCATCATCTTGGGATAAACTTGCCTTCAAAGGCAATATATTTTTCACTAACAATACAAAGCTAAAAATGGAAAATAAAAAATCGAATCTTAGGGACATATGGACCATTTAGAAAAACGATGAGCTAAGTTACCAGCCCCAAAAGCAATGATACCTGAGAGACTGGAGCAAGGATAAGAGACTGGTGGTAATTACCCAATTAAAAAAAAAAAAAAAAAAAAAAATCAAGCACATGATGAAATACTAAGGCTAGAAATGAAAAATTAAAACCCATACATTTAGGAGAAAATGGCAGAAAGGTCTCAAATCTAGAAGCATATTAGACCTCTATACTACAATATTTCATTTAAAGATTATTATCTATGCTCAGATGTTATATTCTCGATAGGGCAAATAAGAAATGTTTGATTTTTCACCTCCTCTACAGTTACAAAGATTAATTTTCTACCATCTTAAAAATTTTCAAAGCTTTTTGAGAAACACACACAAATAATTTGGATTTAGTTCATTTTATTTACAGCTTTTTTTTTTTTTTTTTTTTTTTTTTTTACATTTCAGAGCATTACACAATTACATTTTCTCATTTTCTGACCTGCAAACAGATACCTTAAACGGAAATATTTTTTTTAAGTTATCAAATTAGGTACATCCAAAAGGTAATAATTACACATACGACAATTAATTCACAAAGTGTAATTCATCAGGACTTATCCTAAGAATTTAGGAACAGCCAGTCAGGAGTAATCTGACCAGATTTAGCAACCAACTATTTACATATCCAAAGATAAACAAACCTATCTGAACTCCCAAACCAGAAGTTGGAAATCTTTTGTTAAATCCTCATTGAACAAAGGAGAGAGAGTGATGATTCAAACCTGCCCAACCTTGGCAATCTTAACCCCAACACTGAGCTATTTCCCCAGTCCGAAACTGAATAGCAAGCATCTATCTGTTTGTCAAACACCTAAATATCAGCTCCTGCACCATTATGCACATAGAAAGGTTAAGTGTTCAATAATTTAAAAACAAGTAGTCATTCAATATCCACACTACTTCCCCCAGCTCAGCAGCCCTTACTACAATCCCAAATATGCAATGTGTGTCACACAGTGACAGGCTATTATAGTTATATATAGTATGTATGTATATACACACCCATATTTGTGTATATATGCACACATACACACAGTACTAGGTACAAATGGCAATAATCCCTGCAAGAATTCATTTTCAGTTGAGGCTATGGCTCCTGTGCCTTAGGATGGTTTCAGACTTTAAAAGTGAAAAATACTACTAAAATCTCACAACCTTAAGACAAAATTTGTTTCTTTGTTCAGTTTAGCTTCTCAGTCTAAAAATGGCTATAAGGTTAAGTTTTTATTTTTTTTAAAAAGCAGCCAATTGAGTTCAATTTCTCTCTCCAATTTGGCCAGGCTATTTCGTAGAAGTTCCTCCTAACTAGACTAGAAAAACCTGTGGTACCTTTCAATGGTTCTTGCCTACCTTACTGTCCGTGTTCACGTTTCAAATTGTGTCAACAGAGCCCGTACTTCCGGGGTCAGCTGCTTGGCAGCCTTAGCTGCCTCTGTGATAGCCTTGCGATACAGGCCCTTTCTCTTCTTATTAAAGCGTGACTGGAAGTTTTCTAAAAAAGGGGACAGTTGCGATAGAGCAAGGAAAGATGTTGTTGGAGAACCGAACCAGGAAATACGGGCCTCCTGTCGAACTAAGAGGCCGTTATCTTTCCGGCTCACAGTTATAGTAAGAATACGGGCTGGCCACCAAGGGAAGCCATATATCTTGGCCCAAACAATGTCCCCTACACATATGGTCCTGCCATCTGGTGTGATGCATTTAGAGACGTTTTTGGAAAAGACTTTCATTTTCAAGGAATTACTGAGCTTTTTCTCTTCCTTTGAAGAGGATGTGGAGGAGGTGGAAGGTGCATGCATACTGCCTGGAGGAAAATCAAAGCTTTCAGAAGAACTACACTCAGAGTTGGAGGATTTCAAATCATCTGTGCTATCAATGCTACACACTGAAGCACTGGAAGAGTCAGATTTCTTTTGATTTAGGGTCATGTAAACAGAGATATTGCTTTTGCTGCCCTTTTTGCCCAATGTCTGTGGTTCCTGCTCACCGGGCACAAGCACTTCATTTGTGTCCTGAACCTCACCGTTGGCCTCTTCAGGGCCTTTTGAGGGACTCTGATTTTCTGAAGGGGCCTCACCTGCTGAGCGGGTAGAGGTGCAACGGGACTGGGGCTTGGGTGCCAGCTTGCCACTCCGCATTTTCTCAAGTCCCGTCTTCAGAGAAGAGTCATTTTCTTCATTCCGGTACCTTTGCGGTTTTAAACGAACCCGGGGTGGGAGGGAACCTGAGCTAGGATTCTGATAGCGACGTGTGAAGTGGACTTTTGAATGTGCATTTCTGGACGCAGAGGTTTCACTTTGCTTCTTTTGTGCCTTTTCTTTGGCAATTTTTAACACTTCCCGAGCTTTTGCATGATCCATGTTCTTACTCTGGAGCACTTTTTTAGTACTTAACTGAGCTTTTGATGTATTCGCCTGAGCAGGAACTTTGACTACTCTGCCTCTGCTGTGAGCAATATTTGAAACCTTAACCACAGCATTTCTTTTCTGGCTTTCATTTTGGTTTTTCCCATCCACTTTATGGTCAGCTTTCAGTTTTTTGTTCACAGTAGTTATGCTTTCATTTCTCCGTTTTCTGTCTTCATATTTAGAAGAGTCACTTGCACTACTACCTTTTCTAATTTCCTTTTTTTCAGCAACAACACTGTTTTTACATTTGTCACATAGGACCTGCCTGGGACGTAGTTTAATAGCATTCATTATTGAAGTAGATTCTTCCCTGTACATTTTCCGTTTGGGTCGCTTAATTTTCCGAGGCGGCGGCTGAGGTATTGATTGGTTATATGTGTCCCTGATAAACAAAGGGGGAGGGTAAGGTGCTCCTTCATGGAAGAGTGGCGGTGGTTTGGAAGTCCACAGGCTTTCAGCCAGGCTCGGCTCAGGTGGCGGGACGGGAGAAGGGTCGTTGGGAACAGCACCATTCACTTCACACTTGACTTCTGTCCCTTCTTGGAATGTATCACTTTGGAGCTGCATGGCTTCAGGTTTATCCTTATATTCCCTTTTGGGAAATACTGTCACAGGAATCCCGTGGGGCCCAAACCTTTGAAAGAAATGAAAGAAAAAGAAAGCCATTTAATTAATGGCTATAACAGAATTTAATAAACAATACCTAATAATTGAGTAATTGCATGAACTTTCCTGAAAACTATTTCATATTAAAGAACAAAAATAAAAAAACCACTTACCACCTCCTGCCCCAAAATCCCAAAGCCCTCCTCCTTATTTTATAATGGTCTTTCTAACCAATGCCACAATAGTTGAACTTATTTAGAATAGACCTTTTCAGTCTTGAATCAGAAAGGATACAAGATATCTTAGTATGAAACATCTGATTTATGTTCACTCAAATATACGTAACATGTACAAGCAAATTCAATTATAAAATTGTAATATACATCTACCTCTGGTTAGGACAGCTTTCAAAAACTTCACAAAACAAATTCAGCCTTAGCTACCCAAAAACTATTGAATCTGTAAAATCCCATTTCTACTTTATTAATCACTAAAGTTCAAAAATAGTTGTACCTTTTTTGCTCTTACATTCCAACTCTTACATTCCTTCATCACAGCACTTCCTTACAAAAATAGTAGAAATTTAGTATTACAAAAGCAGACAGATACAGAGCTGTGGATCTCTACCTACCTTTTTAAAATCAAACCGCACTTTAAGAAATACAGGGTGGGGCAAAAGTAGGCTTATAGTTTTGAGTCTAGGGAAGTTTATTCTTATATTATTTATTAATTATTGTAACCAAGTTTATTCTTATATTGTCTTTTCCATACAACTATAAACCTCCTTTTGCCCCACCCTATATTTTCACATCATAACCCAAAGCTTATTTATATATAAATGCTTGCCAACTATACATACATAAATATACACACTCAAGTAAAAGTATCACTAACTACTTAACCTTATATTATGTGATACACAATAATTTTTTCTATCGTGGTCTATTTTAATTTGCTTTCACACTAGTCACACACATCAAATGGATTTCAAAACTTACAAGTCCAGACCCAGTTTGCAAAGCAATTGCATGGGACACAAATCTTTATACTATTCTCATTTCTAATAAAGCAGGGTCAATAACCGTGTTTCTTATGTAGAATCAGAAGTAACTGTGGCTTAATCTGCCTGGGCTAAACATCAAGAATGCTTAAAACTTGCCGAAACTGGTTTGGCTCAGCGGTAGAGCATCAGTCTGCGGACTGAAAGGTCCCAGGTTCGATTCCAGTCAAGGGCATGTATGTTGGTTGCAGGCACATCCACGGTAGGGGGTGTGCAGGAGGCAACTGGTTGATGTTTCTCTCTCATTGATGTTTCTAGCTCTCTCTCTCTCTCTCCCTCTCTGTAAAAAAAAAATCAATAAAATATTTTTTTTTAAAAGATAATCTCAACATTAAAAAAAAAAGAATGCTTAAAACTAAGTTCGCTAGGCACAGATTCCTGCACATAGAAATAAAGTTACACTATCAAATATGTACATGTTAATTTTAAAACTATTTGAGTTAAACAGCATTAAACACAATACAATTATCAATTATAATGCCAATTCTTTAATGCTTAGAACCCAAGAATTTTTTTCAGATAGTTAGACAGAATCTGACATTAGATGCAAATGTTTTATATATGTCTGTTTTCCTAGTCTTCGGTTCTCAGATTCTCCAAAAGGTTCAGAATACCTTTTGTGGGAAAACTTTTTGACATTAAATAACTAATAATTAGGCTGTAGATATTCCTAAAACCAGGCAAAGATATAGAATGAGCCAACATTACCAGGATATCTGGATCTAACATGTAAATAGTTTTCTTCCTAAACTCTTTATTAGCTTGGCTACCACTTACCAACAACTTATAGCAAATACTTAGAAACCACAAAGGGAAGCAGACAGACTTTTTTTAACCAAAGGTGGGACAAGTTTGGATTTGGGCCAGTCCACAAAGGACACCCTTCTCATAACATCAACCTTTGCAAAAGTGGGTTTTTATTCTAGCATTACAGCTGGTATCTATTTGCTTCCTGACTACGACTGCAAGGGACTTTGAGCATTTAGCTTTTTCTAATATTCTAGAGGCCTGATGCGTGAAATTCATGCACTGGGATGGTGCCCAGCCTGCACCCTCTCCAATCTGGGACTCCTCTCACAATCCAGGACTGCTGGCTCCCAACCTTGCTTACCTGCCTGCCTGATTACCCCAACTGCTGCCAGCCTGATCACCCCAAGCACACTCCTGCCAGCCTGAATGATGCCTAACTGCTCCCCTGCCGGCACAATTGCCCCTAATGCACTTTCTTGCCAGCCTGGTCACCCCCAATTGTTCTCCCCAGCAGGCCTGGTCCCTTCCAATTGCCCTCCCCTGCTGGCCAGATTGCTCACAACTGCTCTCCCCTACTGGCCATCTTGTGGTGGCCATTTTGTGTCCATTTGGGGGCAGCCATCTTTTGTGTTGGAATGGTGGTCAATTTGCATACTACCTCTTTATTATAATATATAGGAGGATCTGTGCTCAATAACCAATTTTTCAAGATGCCAGGACAGAGAGGTGATTTTGAATTTTAATGTAGAGCTACATAAAACAATACAACTTATCTGAGGTACCAATGCGTGCATAAGTAAGTGGAACAACAAAAGATGTTTCTCTTCCTTCCTCTAAAAAATAAATTAAAAAAAAAAAAAAACCTAAAAAAGAGCTCTCTACCCAGTATGTTCAGTGGATAGAGCGTTGGCCTGTGGACCAAATGGTCCCGGTTTTGATTCCAGTAAAGGGCCAAAATTTTGAGGATGGAAAATACTTGAGCTTAACAGTTATTGTGTGACAGGGCAAGAGAAAAATCACTATAGAGGGGGGGCCCTTGTGCAGCACGCTGGGCAGAGGCGCCCCCACGAAGAGGGGTCAGGGTTCAATGGGGAGGCAGTGGCCCCATAGCGGGGTGTGGCACCTGGGACAGAAAGCCATCCCCATTCCGGCATGAGCCGCAGAACTGTTTGTGGAGGCTATTGCAAAAGATGCCTACTGCTGTGCTCAACAGGAAAGAGGAAAACCCTCCAGAGGAGAGATCTGGATAAAGCTATAGAAGCTGTTAGTGAATTTGGTTTTCTGGAAGATATTTTGGATTAAATACTGAGCGGTTCACTTTTGTGAGCCTTACCTGCATCTTTCAGCTAGCCCTCTGCAGGCCTCAGCTTTGAAGGACAGAGTCCTTGGAAAGTCACACATATATTTTCCTGTTCTAACATTACCTAAAGCCAGAATAACCTGTTTTTCTCTTCAAAGTTTTCCATGGCTGTGTCTTCCATTTCTGTCTGAATGCAACTGTGCTACTTGAGGCAGAGAAAAGGAAAATGATTTGTGTTGGTTGCTTAATGAATGACAGGGATCAGAATAAAGATCTCTGACCAAGTTAAAAAAATAAAGAGAAAATCACTGTGAAAAAGAATGCTCACCATATGTAAAGGTGAAACAAATGTAAATGTGGAGTATTTTAACCAGAATTCATGATGTGACTATTATAGGAAGTAAAAGGATATTTTCTATTATTTGTGTTCCACTTGACATATGAATTTACCGATGATTCTAGCTTTGACTAAATGAAACTTGTGTTTGTTCACTGATAAACTTTACAAAATTAAGGTTCTTGGTCAGATTTCTAGCATTTCCAGTCAATCCTATACCTAAATAGGTATCCCTTCTTGGAGTGAAGCTCTTAACCATCATCCAAGCTCCATTTCCAAAGGAATACCTCAAAGAAAACTAAAAATGTTAACAACTACTCAATTTTTTAAAAGCCAGACATATTGATAATTCCTACCTCTTATTCTGTAACTTTTTTTAAATGCTGATAGTGTTCATAACCATCAACTTCACAGCAACATCAAGCAACTCATCTCTCACTTAGAGATGAGTTGTTTTCCTTCCTGTTTACAATAATTTTATAGTATACTTGATTCTAATTCTGATTGTTGCCACACTCCAACTGCAGGGGATTCTTTTTAAAATACTATACACTCTAAAGCAACAACAAAAAAGGCATTGCAAACTTTAGGTACACAAACAGAGATCCTGAGGAATTCAATGCTCAGGAAAAAAAGGTCAGGAGGGTCATTGAGAAAGGCCTCAGTGTTATGGCTAGACAAAACCTCTCTCCAATAAAAGATCAACAGAAGACAAAAAGAAAACTCGCTCCCAAACTTCTTTTCCCTTAAAGAATCTACAGTAAACAACAACAAAAATTATATTCAATTAACTTAAATAATATCCAGGTTTATTTCATTTCAAGGATAATTCCTTAAATTAGCAAGTTAAACCATGAAGGAAGGAAAACTGAAGCAAGCTATTTTGGTTCACATTTCATCTCTGAGACTGGTTATGTCCAAGTTAACGTCCACACAAATGAAATTCCATACACATCCATTTGCAATAGAAAATTTTTCAAAATAAAAATGTAAATCTATACCTCAAAAAAATTAAAAAAATACAAGCCAGGACATCCATTCCTGAGTAAATATCCAAAATAATTTAAAAAGGTCTCAGAGATATTTGCACAAGTTCATAGCAGCATTATTCACAATAGCCAAAGGCAGAAACAACCTAAGTGCTCACTAAAGGAACAGAGAAACCAAATCAATAATAATAAAAGCGCCGGCACCGGTTTGGCTCAGTGGTAGAGCGTCGGTCTGCGGACTGAAAGGTCCCGGGTTCGATTCCGGTCAAGGGCATGTACCTTGGTTGCGGGCACATCCCCAGTAGGGGGTGTGCAAGAGGCAGCTGGTCGATGTTTCTCTCTCATCGACGTTTCTAGCTCTCTATCCCTCTCTCTTCCTCTCTGTGAAAAATCAATAAAAATATATTTTAAAAAAAATAAAAATAAATAATAATAATAATAATAAAAGCATAATATGCTAATTAGACCTGACAGCCTGACATCATTTCATATGTCCTTCCACAGCAGGGGCTGAGGCAGAGGTGGTTATGGGCAATCAGGCAGGCAGGTGAGCAGTTAGGAGCCGGCGGTCCTAGATTGTGAGAGGGATGTC